TGATATTTCAGGTCGTATTCAAACGCAAAGTAATCGCACGTTTATTTTATTTTAATGGAAATAAGTATTAATTTCGAACTCTAGCACGAATCCATAAATTTTCATCACTAGACACGCAATAATTATCACTTTAACACGTTTCAATCCGCCATCACTCGACCAGAATTTCCAGTTTCTCTTCTAATTAACTTTTTTCATTCCGACGTCCACACTGATACTACGGAGATGATAAAATTCTCCTTCAAACCTATAAATTACGCTGCCGCAAAAACTGAGACAGGTAGACATATTTGGTCGGCGGCCATCTTTAAACTAATACAATATTCATAGATTTGGACGGGTTTTTAAAATGGGATTTTCGCAGCGATTATGGCTTTACTCTACACGGAACATGGCTGCATGAGCACACAGAGAGATAGCACATTCTCTCGTTATTATTCAGAACTAGTTTTATAAGTCAAACCGTGAGCCCCACCCCTGGGGTGCAAACAACACTTTTATTTTACAAATTTTGGTGGATAAACTGGGTCACACGTTTGGAATTTTATAAAGATGACGCAGGGGCGGCTCGTCAGAGGAGGTGCGTGCCAGGTCAAATTTTATAAAATCCTAACGTTTTCGATTATACGTTAATGTTAAACAAAAATTTTAATTATTTTAGAAACTTTTGTTATAACTCAATTTTACATCTTAAAGTTGTAAAATTTCCATCATTTGAAATTTTTATGTTTAGGTTATTAAATGTAGTATTATTGCGTTATTAAATTATTAACAATATCACATACTATCTTCGAGCGAGATGCAAAAAACGCATGAAAACTTACCAGTTTTTGAAAAGAAGAACAAATTTTCATTGCATTGTATGCATAATCTTAGAAAAAATATCAAACTAAATATTTTTTTTAATTTAACAAAATATTTTTCCTTAAGCTGTAAAAACGGAAACCACTCCTGTTTAAAAATGAAAAGCACTTCTATAAATAATGGTAGTAATAGATATCTACCTACAAAATAATTTTTTTCAAACACCTTATGAACACTACGTATTAGATATAGAAAAAATAAATATATGTATTAAAATTACAGTGTCGTTTACAAATGTAGCTGCATTTTCTAAGTCACCCAGTATAATAAATTACTTTTAGCGGATTGCTTCTCTTTCTCTCTCTATACTTTTCGATAACCAACCGTAATAAACCCATACAACTAGTTAAGACATCATTAATCACGATTTAATATCAGTTTTTTGTAATTAAAAAGCGGATTTTCTACGGATGGCTTACCTACAAAAAATACAATACTTGATTTTTCTTTTCGACTTTTCCAAGAACACTCCGAATTTTCTCAGTTCTATTTATATATGACTAAACTCTCATGGTGATTAGCTGTTCATGTACGAGGTGAGAAGTTTAAAATCAAAGCATTTCTGTTTATAAATAAAATTATCAAAACTTTGAAGATTTCGAAAAGTTTCTAATTATAAATCCTACGACTAAACGTAAACTGCTGATCAAAGGCGCCTTCCAAATCACAATTTTTTTCATTGTTTGTGGTCAGTTGCAAACTGTATTTTTTCTACGACTGAGATTGATTTTGTTTTAGCTATTTGTTGCAATACACTTCTCGCAAAAGAAAAAAATGTTTACGATTGGATAAAAAATATTTGTTTTATGCCAGTTCCTTTTTAAATTTATTTTTGTTGAAATAAATAAAATGTCTAGAAATTTAAGTAAATCTTGCAATTTCTAAGAAAAAGAATTGCGTTGAGGTTGTCTTGTAAAGAACAATATACATATATATGTTTAAATTCCAGTAATCTCACATGTCATATAAAATGTTTGTATGTGAACCATATTTCTTATATTATCCAAAATGTTGTTATTTTATACCATGCTAAATGACATTTGCAGCACAAAAACAATGTTTTAATGGGATTTAAGGCCGTCTACATATGGCATGGGGGAACGTTTTCCAGTAAATTAACATAAGTGCTGCGTGCAGTTTGCAGATTGTAACTCTTAATAAAAGTTACCATTTACATTAATGTCGCAACATTATTTAATATAATATCGCGCAATGGACTGTGATTTATTCAAGCCTGGGTTAATTGAGCTTAATGGTCGATCTGTATAGGTACAGTCTTTGATGTTGATTGCTAATTACGTTATTTTTCGCAGTGACGTATAAGTTTGCACATAAGAATGCTAATTTATAGCGATCTGGACTATTTAACAAAAAGCATGCTCATTTGCACCTACAGCGAATATCATTGAACTTCCGTTGCGCGTTCCAACTATAAATAAACGATAATAATAAATAATTCGCTAATTAGTGAATTTAGAACATTTACTTTTGCGGAAACTGCCATAAAAGCGAATAGGCAAATATAAAAATATCGACTCATTTATTAATAAAAGGAACGCTGACAGTTTCCTCGTTTTATTTCTCTGCTTTTTATAGGCGATTCCATTGTCCTAAAAAATTCAAAGACCGAAAACGACAAAAAGAAATTGAGATAAATAATAAATAGCGCCACATCTAGCGTTTTATTATATTTGCAATAAAAAAGACAATGCGCTGCAAATAAAACATACGAGTATTTAGTTTACAAATTTCCCTTCGGCATAATTCGCTTCGTTTTACGAAAATTGAAGCCCCTAATTGAGAAATTTTAATCGATCTGTTTTGTTTTTAGAAGGGAGAAATCGAGGTTGTTTCTGTTTGTGACGATAGATAACACAGTCGCCATCTCTTACACTGTTGCCGAACTCTGACATAAATTTTAAATGAGCCCCAATAATTGCAAAGAGGCAGATTAATTTTTCGTGCTTCGTGTGGTAAAATTGATTACTTGGACATGTAATTTACTTTATTCTGAAAGGCTCGAATTTCTCACATAATAATTATTCAAAACGTGCTTGCTATTTGAGAAGGAAGGATCTTCATAATAATTATCAGTAAAACCGTAATTGAACCTGGTTAGACTAAATTATTACGTTGTGTTACTTTTTTATTATATTTAGAGCCGTTCTATTTGCTTAAATTTTGAGCAAACTTATATTTGTACACTTAAAAACTACATTATTGTTACTTTTTCAGTTTCAACAGTTGTGTCTACTTTGGAACTGTTTCCTTTTATATTTTTCCGTTCGGAAATGAGATGTTGCTTTTGCAACAAACAAAAATTGCAAAATTATTTATACGACGCTCCAAAACATTATTCTGAAATTTCGATATCCACTGTATACCTAAATACGAAAATAAAAAAAAAAAACGTGTACCTAAGGCTTAACTTTGGTGAATTTGTATTTTTAACCACGTAATTAAAAAAAAGAGACATTAACTCATTTGTATCTAATTTCGACTCATAAAGCAGTATCATAGGCACAGAATTTATTTCGCAGAGTTAAGTAGATCTTGTAAAGAAAGGTCAAAATCTATTTTTTAACATACTATTTTAACAAAAACTTACATAATAAGGGACACTATATCTTTGTTAATTTATTGTGTTCAAGCAAAAAATAGGATGTCCTTACGTGTAAGAAAAATTATTTTTAAATTGTTTTGTAGACATATAATTTATTCCTATATAAATTAAAGACGACCTGGTTTTTCGAAAACTTCTTTATTCAAAAATAAAAAGCCAAAGACAAAATACAGTAGAGTTTCACAAAAGAGACATTAAAAATAACAGGCGCTAATAGCATTACATCATGTTTGACGCTTACCGTCATTTATGTACATTGTTATTTCCCACAAAGAGTCCATTTACGACTCACATAACAAGCATAATTTCAAGCTAAATTAAAAACCACTTGAATTTTTATACAGCGGAGACTCTCAGTCCGCTTTGAAAATTTCTTTTCGAGAGGTTATTATTGGTCAAGGCTTTGAGGAAATTAAAAGAGCCCTCTTCAAAAATGCCAAGAATTTTAATGGCCCCCTAAACGTCATTCAGGTGACTCAGAATCGCCGGTTTTATGGAGCATAAACCTTGTTTAAGCGTATGAAGAGTAGGAATCGTTTGCCGTCGGAAAGGGCATCAATGTACGGCAGGCTGCTGCCGTTTCGTCTCCTGTTTGGCTAGAAGGAAAAATTCTACGTCAAAATGGGCAATTGGAGTTTGATTTCTAGGGGTTGTATATTGGATTTTTGTTTTTTTCGAGTTTTACCTTGCGAAATTTGCCACGTCTTCTCCGCTATAACGCCCCGGTTTAAAAAAGGGAATAAAATAAGGAGCTGCAGTCATTGTCTGGCACGCTCTATAAAGTTCGTAGTTTAGAGAGTCGTTCTTGTAGAGAAGCACCCACCACAGTCGAAAGAACGGCCAACTCCTGCCATTATTTGCACACATTACACATACGGGCCATACCTACCACTGTACACGCATACGTCACGGATTTTATCATGATATTTATCTGCTTTCCTCTCCTTTCAGGCAAGAAGAGGACGGACGATGACAGCTGACGAGCCGTGATTTGGTGACATGGCACAGTAGTGTGTTTGTTGCGTGACAGACGAGTTTCATGTGCCGAAACCCGACGGATCAAACCTCGCTTCGGCGAAGAAAATAAATCATCGTCCACAGGAGCGACAGTGTTTGGGAGCGGAACGGGGTTAGCACATCGTTATTGTTCCATAGGTATACAACCATACAACATCTTAATACGCTTTAACCTTGTTCCTTATCAAGTTTTCTTATCGTTTTAATGATCTCATCTGTCCTTCTCCTGGACCAAGAGCTCGTGCATCGCTCAGACCCCGCCTTTTTATGAGCGGATATCTGCTGCAGTCCCTCCTTCTCTTATGCACCGTAATTCTTAATCTATTCACATAAATGCACTTTAGAACGTGACCGCACCGGCGTCTCAGCTCCCGTCTCTCCGAGTCCAGGCCCGTTCCTCCCGTCCGAAGAAGGCCAAGTCGATCCGTAATTTATGTGCTTATGCCAGGAATAAAAGTGTGCAATGTAATCACGCTCATATAAACAATACCCATCCTGCGAGAGCGGCGTGTGGCTCCAGAACCACACCCAGAGACTCACAGTCTGTGCGATATGGGATATAAAGCAGTAAATCCTGCCCACAGGATCGGGGAAAGCCGCCCTTCGAATTGCGTCGGCGTCGATAGTTTAGACTCAAGCGCCGCGACGCGAGCTATCAGATCACCACCAAACCTCCGCTGAGAAAGACGTGTCCGCTCCGCCACCGCAGCATCCAGTAAGTACCATCAATCACCCATAACCTCACTTCATCGAATAACGTAAACAACCCTCTTCCTTCCATACACTAATTAAATTTCAGCCCTTTTCAATCTACGGGACGTGCAAGGAATTTACAGACCCCGGTGTACAACATGGCTTCGAGGGAAGATCGGGCTCTTGGGAATACGCTCCAACTTGACGCTAGCACTCCCGAGGGATCGCGGCTGCGGAAAGGTTTGCTCCTGGATTATTTTTATGTTCTTGGTACGTGGGAAAGAGTGATTAAAACGTGCCTTTTTTTCGCAGGTGATGGAGATGATGGATCTTCCTTTGAAGACAGAATGTTAAACCCCCTGTACGTATACTGAATGTATCCTGAGTGTTTTCTGTCCGGTATACCTTCAGTATACGTAACAGGAGGCCACATTTCTACGAGGAGGCGTCCAGGACTGACCTGCTCAACCAGGATAAGGCTTAGATAAGTCCTGTATTTTTAGAGATGAGCATGATTGTTATTTGCCAGATCTGTACAGACTCGTTGTATATGTTAGAGAAAATAAACTTTGTACCACACCAACTTTTCATAGTGTTAACATTGTTAGCAGAATTCTTGGCTGATGAGTAAGCAGGGAGATAGTAAATGAGCAGTTACAAAATTAGAATGAATAAGAGCAAAACTTGTTAATTTCACTTCTAAGACAAGCGTTCAAGCAACTGTAGTTAATTCTGTGATTCATTAACATTGTACTTCCTCAAATACACTACTCTAGCGTTAGCAAAATGTGTACGATTTTAACATCAATAAAATACGACTCAAATTTTAACGTGCTGTTATTTTATCAACAAACCCAAGAGATAACAAGTATGAAAAAAGTACAATCAAACTTCCCTCTCAAAATTAAGACCTCACAAACTTATTATAATAACGAACCAAAACAATCCCACAAACTCTCATTTCCCCGCCCCGTCTTCGTCACATCCAAACATGGAAAAAACTATCCTCCCCTCTCCTCGATATAATTCAAACATTTTTAAAACTTCTCCAACCACCTTCCGCAAGATTTACGTTGGCACCCCTTCCCCTCATTCAAAATCTCTATCGCACCCATAAAATTAGAAAGTTAAAGGGTTGAACCTGCACTTTCTAATCTCTCCACCCAGTTAGTTCTGACGCAACATCCACCGTGCTCCAGTGCTAGTGCCACTTGCAAACAACATCGTTACCTTAGCCCAGACCCAAACCCCTACCATTGGGTACAGGAACCTGTAGCCCATGCACCGCGTGCATTTAGGCAGATTCGGTCCCCTTATTGATTCGGTGCTGCATTGGAACGCATGTGCATGGTAAGGAATGATAGGAAAATTTCATCTCTGCCGAGCCCGCATCGCATCGACGGGAGGCGGGGGGGCTGCTCCTTGATTGGCGCCCCTCGTTACCATGGTAACGTCGGGTGGGGTCACAGCCATCTTGGATGCGAATCATCCCCATACATCTGATTGAGATAGTGAATGGCGTAAAAATTTTAAATGCAACGCGGGTAAACAGAAGATGGGAGGGAGCGTGGAAAAATGTACACCTGATAAGCGGAATGTGGTAAGTGCGGTGCAGTGGTGTTAGAAAATTTGAGAAAAAAATCATACCGTAGGACGGGCATGCAAAGTTATTCTTCATGCAAGAATGGCGAACCTGAAACCAAAATTGGGGCATAAAAAATGATTACGACGATTTGGGGTAATTTAGGGGTACATTTAAATTGGCGGAATGGGATAATTAGGTAAATTATTTAAGAGTCGTACGTCAAACGACGGATGAATTCGCGTGACCCTTGATTTAAAGCTGTGTTTACAACGTACTTTATTATAGTTTTACTACCTATCTGTAATAAAATAATCCGTTTATTACGTGTAATTTTACGCCAGTGCTAAACATGACTTTGTTGTTAAGTACAATAAGAAGTCATTCGGACTGTTGGAGCAGTTTTGTAAAAACTACTATCACAAATTGTTTACAATTGTATTGTTCGATTCGCGACTCGATAAAAAGTTTATTCTTGCTGGACACGATGTTTTTGTGGCTGACTTGAATTAATAGCTTCCCATGACATTGTTATATGTGTACCTTTTACCAATAACAACAAGTAGGTGTCAAACAGTTCCTACCTGAAAGTTTGTAAAAAGTATATATTTAATAACAATATAAATAAATGTACCTATATAAAATTATCTAAATAAAAATTTTAAGTTTTAATATGGAGTAAAGATAAACAAAAACGTTTGGAAATGAACGTCAAAAATATTTTCCGCAGACTTAAATTATGAACGTACATACCCACCTACTCATTAAAATTATGAGACTGTTTTTGTGTATTTATATATTTTGTAAAAATAAAATGGTAACAAAGGTCTTCGTATAAAATATCTATATATGTACGAAAAACAAAATCAATTTTGCGAAGTAAAAATTACGACAATAAAAGTGGATTTTTTTTAAACCTAGGTATAACGATTGGAATATCTAACTGAAACTTATTATTTTGTTATTGTAATTTACTTTATAAGAAAAAATAATTATTTCGGAAGTTCCCAAGCGAGTAGCTAAATTTGGACAACATTTTTATTTCCTGGAATTTTCAGAATGAAATAATAACATAAAAAAAATAATAGATAAATGTAATACACCCTTTGATATGTTTTTGTAATTCACTTTGCAGGTTTTTTTTTTGTAAATTATGAATTGATAGGTATACCTACCTATCGGTAAGTCAAAAAATATTTGCTTTCGTTTTTATGTTGCAATTATATTTCGAAAATAAAACTGAAACATTTCAACAGAAGAATATTCTCTATTAACTGCTAGTCAATTTTTGTATTAGTTATCTATATGTGTTTAACAACTTGAAAGAAGAGGATCAAATTGTGTTTACCTATATGTATCATAGGATTTTTGAAATAACAATGATTTAAATTCGTAAAAATATTTGTGGAAAATATAATATTACATTCTAACATAATTTTATCGTACACATTTTGTTTTTTGTTTCTTTTGATAATATAATATATGTAGGTATACAATTGATGTCTGGTCCTTTTTCTTTTAAGATTATTAATCCTTTATAATAAAGAAGAATTTTATGCGTAGGTAACTATTTATAAATATTTTTTGCTATCGATTCTTTCGGAGTTTCATTCTGTACAACAATTAATTTATACCTAACTATAAAGTAATGGAGTGGCTGGGGGGAGAGTATTTCTATATATTTCATAAGGAAAAAATAACCAATCAACAAATATAACTTATAAACAATTCATGTTAAATGAATGCAAGATCACCATCACCGATACAAATTCCATAAAGTTGAAAACTACTAAATAGTAACATTAAAAATTTGTGAGGACAGAAAATACTCAATGTAACATGCAACGAAAAAAACTTTTTCTTTTCGTCATCTTCTTTTAGGAAATAAATTGAAGAACATTAAAAAAAGTAAGAATGTGTTAATTTGTATAAAATTTAAACTAGCATTTAATGAACATTGTTTTTATTTCACAGCTATTTATGTGGCAATTAAGATCTAGTAATAGGTTGAATTAAAGTGAAAAAATAATATCAGAGGAATTGGGAAATTAATAAAATACATAACCTGAAATTATAAAAACTACACAAGCATGTAAGTGAAATAAAATAGTATCTAATATTTAGTAACAGTACCTATAAGTTTTTCATTATGAATATGAATATTAAATAAAAAGAACATTAATAATATGTTCTTGTCTTTAAAAAAATAGCATAAATCTAACTAACGAAAATTTTACAACAATTTTTTCATGCAATGTCACGGAAGTAAGCTTCAAGATTTGGAACAATTTTAGTCTGGTATATAAATAAAACTAAAATGAGATAAATTACACAAACGCTGATATTTCAAGTAGGTATAAGATAATAGTATATTATTAACTAAGGTTGTGAAGACAGACATTCTAGACCGAGCGCAAATTAGAACCTGAGACGCGCAGCGTCGAGGGCTCTAAAGCGCGAGGTCTAGAATTGGCTTCACAAACGTGGTTAATATACTATTTTTTCCACTAGTAGCCCATTTGAGGTTTGCGAATTTTCAAAATGTTTTTTCTGAAGTGCATCAATAAAAATGTGTACTCACGTCATTTTAGTAAGCTTTGGAATTTTATTATTTTTTGACAATCCAAAAATGGTCCAGAACTTTTGTTTTAATTTCCTCCATATTTCCCGTTTTTAATAAATTTTTGTGTGAAAAATGTTGTAAAGTGAACCATCATGTACCCCTCCTCATTCCGTCGTACTTACGCGACCGCGACAAATTTGGCTGAAAAAGGTATGGACCTTTTATCGTTAAAGCGACACGGGGAATGGAAATCCTCCAGCATAGCAGAAGGATACAACGACGGGTCGATCTTCAATAAAAAAAAAAATCGCCGAAATCGTCCAAAGCTCATCTACGGCAAATCAAGTCAAACCAAATCGGAACCATGATTCAGTTTCAGTCCCGTAAACTTCATTTTCACTCCCATCAACTTCATCAACTTTGTTTCACCAATTTATCCTCAATTTATAATCAATTCAGGGTTTGGAAATCATTCCAGGGCATAATTTAAAAGCAAATTTTCCAAAATGATCGTTTTCAGGTTATGTCTCAGTTTTTCTGACAGTTGTGGACAGTTGTCACATTAGGTGGCCAACTTCACGTTTACATTATTGACCAAGGTTCACAATTTTCCAAATTACAGACCTCTAGACAAGTCGACAATTAGCCATTGTAATGCTACTAGTGGAAAAAATAATTTACTTTTTTTAGTCCTGATAGGAATCGATATTTAAAATTATAAATACAACTCCATTCGACAATAATATCTTAACGTTCAATCTCTATTGAATTTTTAAATTTTTTGTAAATTAGTATAGGTATGCGTCGAAGAATGTTTAGAGAAATAATGCTAAATGTTTAGATATCTGTTTACAGCATGTACTGAAAAAAAAATACTTGCAAAAGATAATTTTAAACTCTTAACGTTTTCTTTAACAAAGAGATTTTAAATTCAGCAAATTTTGGTAAAATTTTGAATCTGAATTTAAATATGTCCCTGATTTCACATATTGTAATTGCGTTGTTGATAAGGTTTTAAAAAATTTCTACTGGAATAATAATCTGGGTTTGTTTAATGTACAATTTTGACATGTCTACTGGACTAGAAGAAATTATGAGCAAATTGTTTATTTAAATATATTTGGGTCTTCATTTGGTTAAAGAATTTTTTCGTATGCACTCAGTGTTAAAAGCAAGTAGACGGTAATCAAATCAGCTATGTTAAACACTGGGAATCACACATTAACGTACGAAATTCACCTAGGTACACTTCATATAAAATTTTATAAATCAAACAGACAGACGCTTAACTTAAAAGATATGCAAATTTTAATTAAAAACGATGACTGGATGAAATCCTTGGGCGGTTTCAACTATAACAATTTATTTCCCCGTTTCGTTATTTTGCTAAATTACTTTAATTAAACAATTAATTAATATTCAATTGGCACATGGTTGTATTAAAATTCGATTGAACAAATTGACCGGTTTTGCACGAAACAAACATCGCCAAGTGTTTTTCGCCGTTTGGTAAGAAAAATCCCAAAACGAGATTTACTGTTGACAAACCAGTAAACTTTTTGTTGATTTATTACATCGACTCGCCACTTATTGTTCTTTATCGTCTCTATTTTATCAAGTCAGAACATAAATCAGCGTCAAACTCCAGTCATAGGTAACCTCATCCTTCAAACATTTCCACCGAA